CCAGCCCTCTGGAGATGGTGTATGTAGGAAGGATGTGAGCAGGTTCCGTGTAGACACCATACTTTTCTAGAAGGGCTCTGAGCTCATCTTCCAATTAGGAGAGGAGTCAGTCCACGACCACAGGGCCGGTGTTTAGCAATCCATTTCCAATCCGTCCTTAGAATGGACGCAGGGATGGCAGCAGATCAGAGTGGGAGCAAGCAGGCGGCTCTCTTGTTCCCTACTGCAGCCCCAGCTAGCAACCTTGGGCAAGGGAGTTTCCCCTCTCTGATGGATACAAAGTTTGTGGAAGATAACTGTGTGCCGGTGTGGGTATGGTGCATAAAGGTCCTCCGGAAATGGCTGAGGAGAGAAAGATACAAAAATGGGAGGTGGGCCAAAGAGCATGCACACAAAGTGTGTGTGTCCCAGAGAGAGACAGAGAGGAGGAGGAAATAAGAAAGGAAGGCAGAGAGAAAAGAAAGAAAGGAAAAGATTAAAAGGCTTGGGGAGATGACTCAGTTGCTTGGTGTGCAAGCATGAAGATGTGAGTTCAAATCCCAAGCACCCATTTGAAAATACAAGTACAGGAACTCATGTCTGTAACGCTAGCTCTGGGGAGAACAGTGACAGGCGAAACCTAGAGCTCACTGGCAGGCCAGTCTAGCCATGTGAGAGACCCTGTCTTAATAATTAAATAAATAAATAGATAGATAGATAAGGTGGAGAGAGATAGAGGTCACACACCGGTGACATGGAGCAGAGGCCTGCTAGAGGTGAGAGAAGGGCCCTGTGAATACGGGTAGAGAAGGAATTTCAGGCACTGGTGCAAAGGTCGCAGAGCTGATGAAGGAGCATCCAGGAGGCCCGCGTGACTCTAGCAGAGGGAAGGAGGAGAGATGGAGGTCGAGGCAGGAGGGAACAGGGCAGGGCCAGCGGGACTTGTGGGCTACAGGGTGGGGAGGAAGTGGGGAGGGGGAGAGGGACAGCTGGGACGGACTCAGCTCACGGGCGCCCTCTGGCGGCTGCAGGGAGCACCGACGTGACAGGTCGCAGCCCGGTCTGGGCACTCCTGGGAGGAACAGAGATTTTTCAAGCTTATGGGGTATGGTTTTATTGAGCTTTTTGTAGGAGCCTTCTAGCTTCTGGATGAAGGTGTGGCGAAACTGAAACACTTACTATTAAATATAATAATTATTATAGCACGTAATAATCGGCGCTGGAGAGATGACTTAACCGTTGACAGCACTCTGCTCTAGCAGGGGACCCTGTTTGTCTCCCAGGACCCTGGTGACCCTTCAGCCATCTTCAACTCTGGCCTCTGAGGGCACTGCACTCATGGTGCACAGACAAACGTGCAGGCAACACATTCACCCACATAAAAAGTACCAATAAGATAAGCTGGGCATGGTGGTGCACTTGAGAGGCTGGGCTAGAGGATCTGAGTTCGAGGCCAGCCTGGTCTACAGAGGAATTCTAAGACAGCCAGGGCTGCATAGTGAGACCCTGTCTGGGGGGAGGGGGGAGGAGAAATTAAGTAAATAAAAGAATAAAATAAAATTTGAAAGATAACTATAATTAAATTAATTACATCCTAATCATAATGATTGTTTGATAATAAACTATCAACTACTATTTATGCCTATTATATTAAGTGACTGTTGTTAATAATAATAGTTTGCTGTGTTATTACACAGTAGGGTTACTGCAGACAGTGACAATATACAGAATCTCAAGCAGCTGAGGGGAAAGACTTTAAATGTTTGTAGGATAAATAAAACAGTGATGTCCGTTTGAGGAAGTTGATATCTTCATCCTAATTCAAACATTGGACAGTATAGCCCTGCATCAAAATACAGTGTGCCCCCCCCACAAATGTGTATAAATTTTATGTCTTGGCCGAAAAATAAATCTGGAGCCTGGTGTGACAAAGGAGCTACCAGGAGGCCTGTGTGGCTGGGGCAGAGGGAGTGGGGGGCACAGATGGAGGCAGAGGCAGGAGGGAACTGGGCCCGGTGAGCACTCCCCTGGTGTGCACAAAGTCCTGGGTCCGCGGCCAGCACCCTAGAAACTGGGTTTCCTGATATCTGTCAACATCTCAGCGCTCAGTGGAGCAGGAGGGTCAGGAGTTCAGGGGTATCCTTGGCTACACATGGGGTTTGAGACCCTGTTATTAAATAAACAAATAGTCCAAGCCTGGCATGGCAGCCTATCCCAGTCATCAAAGCACTTAGCAGGCAGACAGCCAGAGTCCATGAGCAGCCAGAGCCACATGATGAGAATCTATATAAAAAAATAAAATAGCCGGGTGGTGGTGGTGCACGACTTTAATCCCAGCACTCGGGAGGCAGAGCCAGGCGGATCTCTGTGAGTTCGAGGCCAGCCTGGGCTACCAAGTGAGTCCCAGGAAAGGCGCAAAGCTACACAGAGAAACCCTGTCTCAAACTCCCCCCCAAAAAAAAGCCTCACTATATAGCCATGGCTGCTGCCCTAGAACTCGATATGTAGACCAGACTGGCCTTGAACTCACAGAGTTCCACCTGATCTACCTCCCCAGTGCAGAGATGCACACCACCACACCCAGCTAAAATAACTGCTATTAAAATAAAAATAAACCAGGCAGTGGGTGGTGGCGCACGCCTTTAATCCCAGCACTTGGGAGGCAGAGGCAGGAGGATCTTTGTGAGTTCGAGGCTAGCCTGGTCTACAGAGCTAATTCCAAGATAGGCTCCAAAGCTACACAGCTATCAAAATAATAATAATAATAATAATAATAAAGTAAAAATAAATAAAATAAAATTAACCACCACAGTCCCAAAAAGTAAATTCAATAATTCAAATAACAATAATGTTAACATTATTCTTCCAGCCTTTTCAGTGTCATTTATTAATTTCTGAGACAGGGTCTCATGTAGCCCAGGCTGGCCTCAACTCACTATGTAGCTGTGGCTAGTCTTGCATGCCTGATCCTCCTGCCGCCACCTCCTGAGTGCTGGAATGACAGGTGAGGCTAGCACATTTGGCTTCTGCCCTGGTGAGGAGGGAACGCAGGGGAACCCAGGGCCTCGTGGGCAGGCCTCTACCCTCCGAGCCCGGTCCGGGACTCCTGTCATTTTATTGTCTAATGATTCAGACGCTAGGGTTCAGCGCTGGCGGTTTGGAGGGTCCACCCTTCCCCATGCCTGCGAATCCAAGCCTGTCTCTTCCCCAGGTCAATCCGGAGCCGGCAACAACTGGGCCAAGGGTCACTACACCGAGGGCGCGGAGTTGGTGGATGCGGTCCTGGACGTAGTGCGCAAAGAGGCGGAAAGCTGTGACTGCCTCCAGGGCTTCCAGCTGACCCACTCGCTGGGTGGTGGCACCGGCTCGGGCATGGGGACCCTGCTCATCAGCAAGATCCGGGAGGAGTTCCCAGACAGGATCATGAACACGTTCAGCGTGGTGCCATCGCCCAAGGTCTCGGACACCGTGGTGGAGCCCTACAACGCCACGCTGTCTGTGCACCAGCTGGTGGAGAACACGGACGAGACCTACTGCATCGACAACGAGGCCCTCTACGACATCTGCTTCCGCACGCTCAAGCTCACCACCCCCACCTACGGGGACCTCAACCACCTGGTGTCGGCCACCATGAGTGGCGTGACCACCTGCCTGCGCTTCCCGGGCCAGCTCAACGCGGATCTTCGCAAGCTGGCGGTGAACATGGTACCCTTCCCCCGTCTCCACTTCTTCATGCCGGGATTCGCACCCTTGACCAGCCGGGGCAGCCAGCAGTACCGGGCCCTCACCGTTCCTGAGCTGACTCAGCAGATGTTCGATGCTAAGAACATGATGGCCGCGTGTGACCCGAGACACGGCCGCTACCTGACCGTGGCCGCTGTCTTCCGGGGACGGATGTCCATGAAGGAGGTGGACGAGCAGATGCTAAGTGTGCAGAGCAAAAACAGCAGCTACTTCGTGGAGTGGATCCCCAACAACGTCAAAACAGCCGTGTGTGACATCCCGCCCCGCGGCCTGAAGATGGCAGCCACCTTCATCGGCAACAGCACCGCCATCCAGGAGCTGTTCAAGCGCATCTCGGAGCAGTTCACCGCCATGTTCCGGCGCAAGGCCTTCCTGCACTGGTACACGGGCGAAGGCATGGACGAGATGGAGTTCACCGAGGCCGAGAGCAACATGAACGACCTGGTGTCCGAGTACCAGCAGTACCAGGATGCCACGGCTGAGGAGGGCGAGTTCGAGGAGGAGGCCGAAGAGGAGGTGGCCTAGGCCTCCTGCCCATCACCCTGACCCGGGGGCATACCAGCAAAGCTTTGACCCTGAACACTCCACATCTGCCCGCAGCTGCCTCCCCACCTTGGACCCCGAGAGCCTCATCATCGGCCCTGCTAGCACCGTCCAAGCCCAGAGCCCAGGTTGCTTCTACTTACTTCACCTTTAACCCCTGAACTCCACCTTCTCTCCAACCCTCTTCTAGTACCCATAAGCGCCCCCCCCCCCCACTCTTCACGTCCTTGGATCTTAAAAATCGTGTCTTTTATCCCACAGCCTTCCCCTGCCCTCCTGCACCATTCATTACCCACCTCTGACATCCCCAGATGTCTCTCTAGGACTTGACTTACATTTTACCCATGCCTCAAGCCCGCTTCACCTCTCACCTTACCTTACCTTTGACCTCACAGCTCCCCACTCCCGACCCAGCCAGCACCCTCACTCTGGCTCCCGTAAGTCCCGGCGTGTTCCTGCCCTCGTGCCTTAGTTTAGCTGCTACCAGCTTGGCTTTACCAGGGAAGAGCTGGAGGGAGAGGAAAGAGAGGCCTGTGGCCTGGGGTGAGAGAGCTCCTCCCCGCTGCCCACCCCACCCTGCTCTTTGCTGACCCCCCCATCAATAAAAGAGTCATTGCTTTGATATGGCTTTCTGTTCAATTTATTTTCTTCTCTGAGGGCAGCCAGGGAGGGGAGTGGCCCACAGGGTGGAAGAGGGCCACTGAGGACTGAATGAATAGAAAAAATAAAAAGGACAGGAAAGGCCACGGCGGCTCCTAAGTGGCGGAGGAGAAGGTTTATTGTAGATGTGTGGGAGAGCACAGTCAGAGTCCAGAGTGGACATGACCAGACTGAGCTGGGTCATGTGAGGAGACAAGGGGAAGGGAGAAGGGAGAAAGGGGAGCCAGGTGCTGCAGCCAGGGGGCCATAGGTCCAAAAGAAGGGTGTGTGACCAAAAGGTCTGGATTATATAGGGAAGAGGCTCGGGGGGAAGGGCAGCCCAGCCCCTGTGCTGGCGAGTTCAGGGTAGAGGGCGGGGTATGCCAGCCATACATGACTACCTATAATAGGTAGGGACTGAGGGATGCTGGGAGAACCTGAAGGCCAGGTCCACTTTGACATGTTAACTCGGCACCTCAGCCATTTGTCCTGGGTTTGAAAGTTAACAAAGACCAGATCTTGGGTTGGTGGGATACAGGGATTGCAGAGCCAAACAGACCAGGCTAGACCAGACCAACCCCAAGATACAGGATAAGTCCTTTGCACACCAGGAGCATGATGTCTACTCTCTGCTCTCGTTACTAAAGTTGGGACCACAGTCTGTACCCTAAGAAGTCAAATAGGATTTGTTCAGTGTGGCCACACTGAGGAGGTGGGCCTGAGAGGGCCCTGGATTTGTCTCTCTTCCCAATGTGGCCACACTGAACACATCTCTTCTTCTGCATTTGGTTTGGTTTGGGTTTTTAGTGTTCTTGAGTCAGGGTCTCACTATATATCCCTGGCTGTCCTGGAACTCACTATGTAGTCCAGGCTGGCCCCAAACTCACTGAGCTCTGCCTGCCTCTGCCTCCTGAGTGCTGAGATTAAAGATGTAGCTAATTGGGTTGTTTTAATTGGTTTCTCAAGGATGGGTAGCCACACTTGACTTTTCTTTAATCATTTTTTTTATATTTTTTTAAATATGATGTTGATTTTATTTGTAATTATGTATATGGGTTTGTGGAAGCCAGAGGCGTCACATCCCCTGGAACTGGGGTTGTGAGCCACCCGTGTGAGTGCAGAGAACCCACGTCTTGTGCAAGAGCAGTCCTTATTCTTAACTACTGAGCCACACCTCCAGTGTTCTAAACTTAACATCTTGGGGTACAGACAGAGACTCTTAAGTTTGGTAACACCCAGGCCTGTCTTCAGTCAGTTCTGTGACCTCTCTCAGTGAGGTGTATGTATGAGGGTGTGTGTGTGTGTGCGCGTGCGCGCGTATGAGGGGTGTGTATGGGGCATGTATATGAGGTGTGTGTGTACATATAAGGTATGTGTATGAGGTGTGTATGTGTGAGAGGTGCATGTGTGTATGATGGGGGGTGTGCATTTATGTGTATGTGGTGTGTGTATGTGCACATGCGCATGCATCACCTGACCAGGTCTGGACCTCTCTGCATCTCCATCAGGACCCCTGCATGACCCCAGCAATCACCCTCTGGGACTCTCTTTTGCTCTTCATTGTAGCTCCCCCCCTGTAAATGAAACAACAGGAAATTACCTGGGTGGTCTTCACAGATTTTCAGGGGACTCAGAAAGAAAGGATCTGGGTGTGACCATGGGATCTCCCAGCCTGGCCCTACTTCTCACCCGCCCTGTCCCCACCTAGGCTAGGAAGCCAGAACTTCTGAGTTGCTCACAGCGGGTGGGGGCAGGGGCCTCCTTCGTCTGGAACGTCACCCTGTTAAACTTCCTCTCTCAGCCACACAGGAAGCTGAGCAGATCAGGGGCCCTGCCCCAAGCAAGCACAGGCTCCCCCAGCCCCAGGAGCCTAGGGGAAAGGGCCCAGCTGGGCCAGCCCTGCGGAGACCATGGGATCCACAGAGAAGTAAGAGCTGGCTTCCCTCTATCCTGCACTGCAAGATTGCCAGGCCTCAGACGGGGGAAAAAAAAAAAAACCATGGTAGCTGGGGCTTCGGCAGGGGAGGACCCACCCACAGGGGTGGACCCTCAGGCACCTGTTCAGGCCGCGCATGATTCCTCTTCAATTTTCCTGGCTCCAGATCTGTGTGATGAGGACAGGGGTTTTAGGAGCGTGACGCCCCAGTAAGGGCGGTGTTTTAGAAGGTGGTTTCCGGAGGGGATAGGTGTGAGAGGGTATGGTGGGAGACCGTGTGTCAACCTTAGTGGGGGGCTCATGGGTGCCTTGTGTTCACATGACGAGGGTGCTGGAGGAGCCCATGTCTGGGTGTAACGGGATGGGAAAGAGTGTCAGCCTCTGACAACTGAGGCCCAGCATCTTCTTCAAGATGCGGCAGGCAGGCAGGCACAGGGAAGGGGAGGCTGCGGGGCTTACAGTTCAGTGCCAGGGCACCTTGCTCTCCTTTCTCTGCTGCCGAATGTGGACCTCCCTCACAAAATGTCCTTCAGAAACACAAGGACAAGCCTTAAAAATTCTCAGAGGCACAGAGAGAAAAGAGACAGGACACTGGGCACACACCTGAGCCTGCAGTTCTACCCCGCAGATTTAAGGGACAGACACCAGACAGAATCACAAGTGTGCGTCACACACACACACACACACACACACACATGCTTTCTACACTCAGACACACCATCACAGGCCAGGTACTGATGTCCCTCCCCCATCTCTCTTGCTTTGTTTCTCTTGTTTTCTCTCTCTCTCTCTCTCTCTCTCTCTCTCTCTCTCTCTCTCTCTCTCTCTCTCTGGACCCTCAGTCTCTCTCCCTCTCCTTTCTCTTACCCTGCTCTCTCTGTCTCTGTCTCTAGTTCTCTCTTTGGAGACAGGGTCTCAGTATGTAGCCCTGATTGACCTGGAACTCATATATAGACCAGGCAGGCCTTGAACCCACAGAGATCTGACTGGGCTTAAAGGTATGGCCACCATGCTGGCTTCCTCTCTTTTTCCTTCTCCTCTCTACCTACCCCCCCTCCCATCCTTCAGCCGCATTCACACTTAGCTCCACCCCTCAGGGTGCCCACACTGACACACCTAGTTACACACACATGTTCAGAATAGGGAACACACACAGAGGCACAGACGCGAGAATCAGAGGCCCTCCCTCCCGCTAAAGCCCCCTCATGCCCGCAGAAAACAACCCCCTGCTGTGTTTGACTGGTTCTTCGAAGCAGGCCGCCCCCACTCCCTGGAGGAGGGTAAGTTGAGAGGGCTGGGGCTGGAAGGACGGGAGGGAGGACTTGAGGTCCGGAGGATGTGAGCTCAGCGGCTGCTCTCCCTGCAGATCCCCAGATCCTGCGGCAGTTCCCGCCGGACTTCCGGGAACAGGTATTCAGAAAGCATCTTTGTCACCCTAGGACTGGCCCAACAGAGGGGTGGGCCTTGAACCCTGAACTGAGGGGTGAGGCTGACATGAGCCCTGTGTTAATGCTCCTTCCCCTCTCCAGGAGGCCATGCAGATGGTGCCCAAGTTCTGTTTCCCTTTTGACGTAGAAAGGTATGGAAGGGACGGAGAGGTGGGGACTCCCAGGCTCTTGGGGACTCCAAGAAGGACCCTGACAACTAAAGAATTATAGGCACAGGGACCCAGAGACCCAAGAACTGAAGCCAGGTGGTCCCTCAGAGGGGACTCGGTGTCAGCATAAGTGTGTGTTCATGGGTGAGCGCTGGCATATGGAGGCCAGAGGCAGATCCTATGTTGTTTCCCAGAAGCCGGCCACAGTTTTCTTTCTTTTTTAAATTTTATTATTATTATTATTATTATTATTATTATTATTATTATTATTACTATTATTGAGACAGGGTCTCTCTACATAGCCCTTGCTGTTCTGGAACTCACTATGTAAACCAGGTTGACCTTGAACTCAGAGATCTGCCTGCCTCAGCCTCTAGGATTAAAGGTGTCTGCCTCCACCGCTGCCACTGCCGCTGCCATCACCACATGGTCATCTTTCTCTTTTTTTTATGTGAACCAGCCCCACATTGGTTTGGTTTGGTTTTGTGTTTAGGTTTCTTTCCTGTATTTTTGCCTGCATGCTTGTCTGTGCGCCACATGCATGCCTGGTGCCCAGGGAGGTCAAAAGAGGGCATCAGATCCCCTGGAACTGGAGTTAAGACATTGTGAGCCACCATATGGGTCTGGGAACCAAACTCTGGGAGAGCAGCTGGTGCTCTAACCATCAGGCTGTCTCTCCAGCCCCTATACACCTTGTTCGACACAGGGTCTCTCACTGGCTTGGAGGTCTTCAAGGAAGCTTGACAGGCTAGCCATCGGCTCCCAGGGCTTTCATGATTTACCTCCCTGGCTCCAGGGTTATAAGTGTTCACCAGTACACCAGATTTTATTTTATTCTATTCTATTATTACTGTGTGTGTGTGGTGTGTGTGTGTGTGTGTGTGTGTGTGTGTGTGTGTGTGTGTGTGTGTGTGGTGGGGGGGTGTGCCTGCACCGCAGGAGTCCAAGGTCAAAGGATAACTGTGGAATTGGTTCTCTCCTTCCACCCACGCGGCTCCTCGCCACCAGGCTTGCATGGCAAGCCCCTTTTCCTGACAAGCCACCTCCCTGGCCTCCAGATTTTCTCTCTTTTCAAAGATGGGCGTAGGGGCTAGAACTGAGGTCTTCAGTCTTACAGGGCACACACACATCTTAGTGATGGAGCTATGAGAACAGCCTCCAGGAAGGACTCAGGGCTCCTGACTGGAGGGCACCCACAGAATACTGAGCTCAGACGGCAAGCGGACAAAGAAACCGTGCATTCCCGGGCCGTCTGCAGAGTGTGACGGGAGGGACTGAAGAGCAAGAAGTCAGGCAAGACATGCCCAGTCTCCAGCAGAGCCTTTCCCCCTCCAGGGAGCCGCCCAGCCCTGCCGTCCAGCATTTCACCTTCGCCCTCACTGACCTGATGGGCAACCGGAGATTTGGCTTCTGCCGCCTGCGAGCCGGTGCGTGCAGTTGCCTCTGTATCCTCAGGTGGGTGACATGGGGACCTGAAACCGAGTGGGGACAGATGGGAACAAACACTAGGCCTCGTGCCGGACACAGAAACCCACGACCGGTCAGAGTGCAGGGACCGTAGAGTGTCCAGCCCCAAACGGGATGTGTGTGTCACCACCCTCCACACAAGGCTGAGGGACCATTTCGGAGGTGAGGGCGGAGAGACCATAAAGTCCAGAAGGACCAGAGTGAAACAGTGTCTCCTGGACACTACAGAACCCACGCTCATGAACGCACAGAGGCGCAAGACCTGCAAGCCTTCAAGCCAGCCCAGACCCCAGCATGGGGGGCAGGGCTGGTGAAGTCCTGGGGTAGAGAGCATTCTTCTCCTGGGAGGCTTGCAGTCTCCAGTGGATGGCTCTACACCGTGTACTTACAGATAACACTAAATGGACTCAGGGAGGGTTTGTTGTTGTTGTTGTTGTTGTTGTTGGAGGGAGGGGTAGGGGTTTGAGACAGGGTCTCACTATGCAGCCCTGGCTGGCCTGGAACTCATTATATAGACCAGGCTGGCCTCAAACTGCCAGAGATCCTCCTGCCTCTGACTCCTGAGAGCTGGGATTAAAGGCGTGTGCCACCACACTTGGCTGATTGAATAGGTTTTAAAGACAACATTGCATGAAGTTGAAAGGGGAAGGTTGGGGGAGATACTAAAGGGGTGGATTTGATGGGGTGGATTTGATGGGGGTAGATTTCATACACACATGAAATTCTCAAACAATAAATTTGTAAAATTACAAGGTCCTTCAGGGGCACTTTCTAGACCCTGACCCCTCCCTGCCTTCTCTCTCTCTCCAGCCACCATCCCTGGTTTGAAGTGTTCTACAAGATCCTCAATACTGTGGGGGACCTCCTAGCCCAGAACCAAGTGAGAGCAGCCCCACCCTCAGTTCCCACCCCAGCCCTTCCATCACCTCACCCTAGCTGAGGCAGTTCTCAGGGTCCCACAGCCTGAGAGGAGACCCTCAGAATCCCAAATCGACCCTCCAGGGCAAACTCCTCCTGCATCCCTCAGGTCTCGGAAGCTGAAGAACTCCTACAGAACTTGCAGCAACACCCTCTTCCTGGACCGGGGTTTTCAGGGGAACCAGAGATGGTGAGTAGCCCCCGGTTTTGGGCTCTGGCTTCTTGCTGGCGGCGGGGGCTGCGAGCCCAGCCGGGAAACCACACAGTTACTCCTGTCCCCCAGGGCAGCAGCTTGGCCATCTGGAGCCAGTGTGGGATCCTGCTTCCTGCCCTGGGGAATAGCAAGCTGGTGAGTAGAGCTGCCCCTCTACCCCTACCCCTACCCCGCCGTAGGTGAGGCCACCATCACCAGTGCAGACTGGTTGAATCTTCTCCCCGTGCCCCCACCAGCCTTCTTGTTTTGTGGACCCGGATTCTGCCGGCCTGCCGTCTATTCCTGAGAACGTAAGGAGAACGCAGAGTGAAGGGGAAAAGGAGGGACGGCGAATCTCGGCTATTCGCCCCACGCCCAGCCGCTGTGCCTCTCCATCCCCCAGAGGAATCTCACGGAGCTGGTGGTCGCAGTGAGGGATGAGAACATCGTGGGGCTCTTCGCGGCGCTGCTGGCTGAGAGGAGGGTCTTGCTCACGGCCAGCAAGCTCAGCACGGTGAGGAGGGATCTCCTCCCCCATGGGACCTCGGGGTGGACTCTAAAATCCCTTCATTCAGCCCCACCTGTGGGGACAATCTGAAAAGGCTCCACAGTGGCTCCTCCTCATTGGTAGCACGATCTAGGACAGGCTCATCCACTGAGGACCGGACCTGGCCTAGCTCCAGCGCCCCTGCCCCCCGCCCCCGCCCCTCCTCCGAAGATGGGGCCTTGGCTCAGTGGGTAAAGTGCGCTTGCCTAGCAAGCGTGAAGCCCTGGGTTCCATTCCTAAACTGGCATCAACCAGGCCGGCAGGCATGGTGCGACACACCTGTAATCTCTGCCTGAGGCAGGAGAATCAGAAGTTCAAGGTCACCCTGAAATACCTAGCTTGAGGCTAGCCCTGATACAGGAGACCCAGGTCTCAGTAAACAAACAAATAAATAAGGACGTTTGAAACAATTCTAGAGCCAGTGATATGATTCGGCGAGAAAAGGTGTGTACGGCACGGCACACATGGTGGAAGGAAAGATGGACCTTATGAGTTGTCCTCCAGTGTGCACAAGTGAGCACACTCACACACACACACACACACACACACACCCACACACACACACACGCACACACACACACACACACACACACACACACACACCACTCACAAATAAACAATTTTATTTTTTATTTCCTGCTCTGCTTTTACGTTTTACATTATTTTTTAAGATTTTTTTTTTTTTAATGTGTATGTCTGTCTGTGGTGCTGGAAGAGGCCGGAAGAAGATCCCCTGGCACTGGAGTTAGAGGCCGTTGGGAATAACCTTGTGGTTGCTGAGAACAGGTTCCTGTGCAAGAGTGGACGGTGCTTTAACCACTGAGCCGCCTCTCCTGCCCCTCAAGTGTGTTTCTGTGTGTTCAGCGTTTTTGTTTTTGTTTTGTTTTTTTTTTCAAGACAGAGTCTCAGTGTGTAGCCCTAGCTGTCCTGGGACTCTCTCCACAGACCAGGAACTCACAGAGATCCACCTGTCTGCCTTCCCGAGTGCTGGGACTAAAGGCCTGTGTCACCACCGCCCGGCTGGTTTTTAGCTCTACGTTTTTTGTGGTTTTATGTTTTTATGGTTCTGGGGTTGAGACCCAGGGCTTTGCACAGGGTAGGCGAGCTTTCGTTACAGGGCCATATCCTCGGCACTGGTTCTGTTTGGAGGGCCTGTTTGTTTGTTCTGTGGTTGCCTTTGTGAGATGACATCTTACTGATTCGGCCTGTGTTCCACAGCCTGAGTGTGTAACACAGCCCGAGTGTGTAACACAGCCTGAGTGTGTTCCACAGCCCGAGTGTGGAGGTCAGGGAACAACTTGTAGGAGTTGGTTCTTTCCTTCTACCATGTGGGACACTGGGAATCGAACTCAGGTCCTCGGACTTGGCCACAGGATCCTTTACTCTCTGAGCCATCACACCCATCCTGTTCTGTTGGGGTATTTGTCTGTTTGTTTTATTTTGTTTTTGAGACAGTCTCACTCCAGTCCACACTGACCTAGAACTCGTTCTGTAACTGAGCATGGTCTCAAACTCACATCAATCCCCCTGCTCTGACTCATGAGTGCCGGGATTACAGAACCACCGCATGAAACTTAAGAGCTGTTTTTTATCTGAGCACATGGAGCTGTAACTGCCCAAAATCTTTGGTCTCTTCTTCCTTAGAGGGTCTGAGTTCCGCCCAGCTCCCCAGCAATGGGTGGAGGAGACAGGACAGATGGGGGAGGTCGAAGCGCCCATCTCAGCGACCCAGGAGGTGGGGGAGTCTAAGGCCTAATTCCACCACCTCCCTCTCCTCCTTACCCCCAGCTGACAGCCTGCGTTCACGCGTCCTGTGCTTTGCTCTACCCCATGCGCTGGGAGCACGTCTTGATTCCCACGCTGCCCCCACACCTGCTGGATTACTGCTGGTGAGAAAAGAGGGGGTGAGGGCTGAGGAACATTAGTCCGGGGAGAGCCTGGAGTGTTGCTAACCTTTAATCTTAGCACTTGGGAGACAGAGGCAAGAGGATCTCTTTGTGTTCTAGGCCAGCCTGGTCTACATTGAGGTCCTATCACAAAAAGTTAAAAAAGAAAATAACGAGTTCCAGGCTAGCCTGGGCTACATAAGGCAATCATAGGCGAAAGGCTTGGGGGTTTAAGGCATGTACCTCCCTCCCGTCCTCTCCACAGCGCGCCCATGCCCTACCTCATCGGAGTCCACGCTAGTCTCGCTGAGGTGAGTGCTGAAACACCCGAGACTCGGGCTGGGGAGGGAGCCCCTGCTCTGTGTGGGGCTCTGAATGACAGCCCGCATTTGTCTCCTGCAGAGAGTTCGGGAGAAGGCACTGGAAGATGTCGTGGTGCTGAACGCCGACTCTAACACGCTGGAGACACCCTTTGACGACGTGCAAGCGCTGCCCCCAGACGTTGTTAGTGCCGCCGCCTCCCTCCCCCTGGTCCTCAAGATGGAGCCTCCATCTCTGCCCATCTCAGGGTCTCTCCTGTGTTGCCAGGTATCCCTGCTGAGGCTTCGACTGAGGAAGGTGGTGCTGAGGCCCGGGGAAGGAGTGTCCCGACTCTTCCTAAAAGCCCAGGCCCTGCTCTTCGGAGGGTACCGCGACGCACTTGTCTGCATCCCGGTGAGCAAGTAAAGAGGGGAGATGCCCAAGGACAGGCCTCTTGAAGGACCCTGGAAAAGTCACAACATTAAGAACACCTGGTGGCTTACGGTCTCATGTAGCCTAGGCGGGCCTCAAACTCAATGTACAGCCCAGGATGACCTTGAACTCCTGAACCTCCTCATTTTTTTTTTTTTCTTGAGACTGGGTCTCTTGTAGCCCAGGCTGCCCTGGAGCTCACTATGTCACCCAGCAGCAATCCTCCTGCCTCAGCCTCCCGCACTACCAACATTATTTCATGCTGATAGCCACACTAAAGACGAGGATGAGGTGTCACATGAGTACACAGTAGGCGCCCAGTCAGTGCTTGCTAGGTATGTTATGAGGTTGAAAAAGAGATGGTGAGAGACAGAACAGCCGCAGGGAGCTCTGGAAAGACTCCTTCTTCCAGGGTCAGCCGGTGACCTTCAGTGAAGAAGCTTTCTTGGCTCAGAAGCCGGGGTCGCCGCTGCAGACCTTCCACAAGAGGGCGGTGCACCTGCAGCTATTCAAGCAGGTGAGCTCCCAATGGGGGGCTGAGGGCCGGACCTAAGGTAAGGAACAGGGGGGCGTATCCCTGGGAGCGGGACCTAGCGGGAGGGGCGAGGATGAGCTGCTTTCCCTGAGGGCGGGGCTTAGGGGGAAGGGCGGGCTGCTGACCCCCTGGGGGCGGGGCCTAGGGACCTGGCCTACCGTGAGGAAAAAGGATGGGCTGTGGGTCCCTGAGGGCGGGGCCTAGGGGGAGGGGCGAGGATGGACTTGGGGACAGATCTTGACTTCAGGGGCCAAGTTGGATGCCTAGTCTTTAGGTTTCCTGATTCCTGGGGCCTCGGGAGGGACCTGGCCAGGCTGCCTTCCACATCTTCAGGGAGCAACAGGCACTTCCTTGTTGGGCTTGCGTCTGACCCTCTCTCCCTATCCCAAGTTCATCGAAACCCGACTGGAGAAACTCAATGCTGGGGAAGGCTTCTCAGACCAATTCGAGCAAGAGATCATTGCCTGCTGTGGGGCTTCCTCAGGTGAGCCCCAGGGCTCTTAGCCCATCAACTCTCCAAGCTTAGGCCTGCCTTGGTACTCACACTTCTCTCCGTTCCTCCAGGCGCCCTCCGATCCTACCAGCTCTGGGTAGATAGTCTTAAGGTAACAACAGCCATCCCTGTTCCTGTCCGTAACCAACTTCATCATCTCCTTCTCTCACCACAGGCCCCAGGAAGAGGCTTGGTTAACCCCCCGGGTGGAGGCACAGGGGGGCAGGGCTGCCCAGCAGAAGATAACCGGAGGTGGGAAGTGGAGTGTGGGGTCCAGCCCTGGTGACCTCAGGGGCCCAAGGTTCTCCCCTTTGGTGCTTTCTCCCCCAACCCCCTACAGAAAGGTGGTGATGCCCTCTTGCACTCAATGAAGGCCAAAACCCGACCAGCCGTCAGGAACATGTACCGATCGGTGAGACCAGGCTGGGTGGCAGTTCCTCTTGGCTAGGGTGACCACGGGGAAGGAACAGAGGGAGTCTCTGTGTTGTACATGTATGTGTGCATGTAGAAGATAGAGGCTGGCATTCTTATGTACTTTCCACTTCGGAGTTTGTTTTGGAGAGAGGGTCTCACTATGTGGCCCTGGCTGGCTTTGAACTTACAGAGAGCCACCTGCCACTGCCTCCTGAATGCTGGAATTGTCGTGCCCCACCACACCCAATAAATTTGGGTTTTTTTTGGGGGGGGGTTACATTTATTTATTTTGGGTATTTGTGCCATCGTGCATGGGTGGAGGTCAGAGGACAACTTGTAGAAGTTGGTTGTGTTAGCCCAGCAGTGGTGGAGCACGCCTTTAATCCCAGCACTTGGTCGGCAGAGGCAGGCAGATCTCTATGAGTTCGAGGCCAGCCTGGTCTATAGAGCTAGTTCCAGGGCTATACAGAAAAATCCTGTCTCAATAAATAAATAAATATAATTTTTTAAATAATAAACTTTAGGGCTTCCCTAGAATCCACAGAGAACTGACACCTGAGTTGCACACTGTCCTCCATAGTTGTACCAGGACTCATGTTCCCTCTCCCCCCAATAAAACACACACACACACTAACAGCCAGATCATTTCACTACCTTTGTTACTTAGCTTCCATTCTTGATTTTTTGGGGGGAGGGAGGGGCGTTCTGGAGCTCAAAATTTCCCTCAAACCTGCTTTTACAGTTCAGATTCATCCATTTGATTTTTTTTCTTACGAACTGTATGGCCATGGCAGGCTTCTGGTTATCTAGTTCTTATATCTTTTTTTTTTTTTCTGGAGCTGAGGACCGAACCCAAGCGCTCTACCACTGAGCTAACTCCCCAACCCCTAGTTCTTATATCTTAAATTAACCCATTTCCATAAATCTATACCTTGCCACATGGCTCGTGGCTTACCAGTATCTTACATGTTGGTACTCATGGCGGCGGCTGGCAGTGTCTCCCGTCCATTTGATTTTAACCCTGACACATGATGGTCAAACCTTTGGTTTATGGCAGGGTGACTCCCTTCAGGAACATTGTGCATTAGTCAAAGGTACAGACATAGCTTGGAAGACACAAGGATGGGTGGATGGCAGGAAACAACCATCCTGGGAAGTCAAGTCTGTCTCCCTGTGTCAGGTCTAACGGTATTGGGTCATCATCCTAGGCGAAGAGTGGCTTGAAAGGGGTGCAGAACCTGCTTATGACTAAGGTAAGAAGACCCAGGACAAGTTCCCCACCCACAGGTAATTCAGGGGAGTGAGGATGGTACTCCCGCCCACATGTGCATCCCTTCACAGGACGGAGACTCTGGCCTGCAGAGGGGGGGCTCCCTGAGAACCCCAAGCCTCGTCAGCCGCTCAGATCGCCTGCAACAGCGCCTGCCTATCAGCCAGCACTTTGGGCAGGTGAGGATGCCCATCTCCACCACTACATGTACACATGCACACACACACAGAGGATGCCTGCTCTCCCCCATGCCCCCCCCCCACACACACGGATTCTCCCTAAATCCCCCACTCATACCCAGGGTCCACCAAACTATTTCTGTTTGTTGAGGCTCCAATGTAGCTCAAGCTATTCTCAAACTCACTATACAGCCAAGTATGACTTTGAACTCCTGCTCCACCACACCCAGTTTAAAGAGATCAAACCCAGGACCCTGTGCATGTCAAGCAAACCCTCTACCAACTGAGTTGCATTCTCTCAGCTCCCTGGTTTGGGGGGTTTTTGTTTGTTTGTTTGTTTTTAGACCAGACTCGTCTCAAACTCAGAGATTCACCCCAGCCCTTGTTCTGTTTTTAGAGGAGTTTCACTATGTAGCCAGTCAAACTTGCAATGATGCTCCTGCCTCAGGCTGCAGAGTGCTAAGAGGACAGACACGCAGCGACATGCCTAGCTCTCTTTCCAATTCAAGCTGGAAAGCCCCAGCCCTGAATTCTGCAGCTCCTGGGCCTCTCCCCATTCTTCCTCCCTTATCTTTTTCAGAACAGGCCCCTCCGCCCTAGCAGGAGACTCAGGCGAGAAGAGGGACCTTCTGAATCCCTCGGCGAGAGGTAAGAAATGAAGCAGGTCAAGGTTGGGGGTACAAGGGACTGATGAGGAGGGGTGCCTCCAGACCCTGGAGCAGCCCAATGAAGCCCAGGATGTCCATCCTCATTCCAGGAGCCCTGCCTTGAGCCCCGAGGACACCCAGAGTCCCTGGGCAGAGGAAACTCTAGACGGCAGCTTTCTGGGGTCTGGAGAAGAACTGGATCTGTTGAGCGAGATTCTAGACAGTCTGAGCATGGAAACCAAGAGTGGCGGCCGGCTGAGGGCCAGCCAGAGCTTGAACTGCTGCCAGCAGGGGGCGTCGGAGAGCTGCTTCAGTCTGGTAAGACCCAAGACTCTCACCGTGCCCTCCCAACCTGTCAGTTCCATCCTCACCTGACCTCAACCACACCCCTGCCCCCCACCTCTGCCCAGCCTGACATCCCAGCGAGGTCACCATGGCAACTGGAAGAGGATGAGCATGAGCGATCCCCAGAACTCCAGCCCCGGTCCTTGCCAGGGGACCTGACAGCTCTGCAGGACACTCCATCTTTAGAGGTCGCAAGCTACTCCGTGAACTGTTCTCAGCCGCCCTCAGACATCTCTCCGCAAGCATCTTCAGCAGACCCCAGCTGCCAAGGGGACCCCGCGCTCTCTGCCCCCACCGAGCCTGATCCTAGAATCCCACAAAGCCCTTGCTCCAGGCTCCCCCCAGTGCCCACTCAGCCCAGCCCGCCAAAGAGCCCCCAACTTCTTGCCCCCACAAAGCTCAGCTATGACGCTGTTGGGACATTACAATCCATTCGGTCTCCCTCACACTCCAATTCTCCAGAGAACCCCAGAAACCAGCCTCCCCAGGTCCTGCGGGATCAGGCTCGAGTGCAACCCCTCAAGGAGCTGGGAGTAAGCAACAGGCAAGGGCCCGCCGCCAGGCAGCCTCGCGTTGCTGATCTGAAAAAGTGTTTTGAAAACTAAGAGCAGGGATGTGGAGAGGACCCTGGCTCTCAATAAAGCTGATTTTTTTTCCCCTTGGCAAATTTATCTGGGGCCTCTGTCAGAAACCTACCTCACCCACCACCAGAAGCGACCTCTAACCATCTTAAGGTTCATCTGAAGGCCCTTCCCCGCCATTTCCAGCCTGTTAGGATCCTGAAGAGCTTACAATTCAAACCGAACTCATCTAAGCTGATAGTCCCACAAGCTTTAAAAAAAAAAAAAGAGCCGGGCGGTGGTGGCGCACGCCTTTAATCCCAGCACTCGGGAGGCAGAGCCAGGCGGATCTTTGTGAGTTCGAGGCCAGCCTGGGCTACCAAGTGAGTTCCAGGAAAGGCACAAAGCTACACAGAGAAACCCTGTCTCGAAAAACCAAAAAAAAAAAAAAAAAAAAAAGAAAAAGAAAAAAAAAAGAAACCTTTATTATACCTTACTATCAATTTCATATAAATATATAAAAAGTGAGCAGCCCCAATCCTCCTTTGCCCTCAAAGTGAAGGTCTTTGAAGAACTTTCTTCCCTTCTATTCTTAAGCATTGGGTGAGTCTGATCGCTCAGAGAGGGTGCTGCCTTCCCCCAAGGTCACACAGCAAGGTAGGGAAGACGGATGACAGGGAAGGAGGGGAAGGAGCTAGATGGGCAGGCAGCCCCGCACTGGCTCCTTGGAGTCCTGGGGGGCCCGGGCCTCAGCTGCTGCATGGGAAAACTGAAAGAAAGGACAGGAGGTTTGTTGGGCCTGCAGTCATGGTAGGAGACACAGCAGAGGCAAGATCATACGAGGTAAATGGTGAGGAGGTGAGGTCCCCCGGGCCTGGCATCCCCAGCTTCATGCAGAGCCAAGCAGAGGCAGCATGCTGCATAGCCCACCAGCCGGGTGCTCCCAGGGTTCCCCACCCCAAGTCCTCCTGAGCCATCAGAGGCTGGCATGTCTCCGAGATGGCTGCTGTGGGCCAGGGTGTGCCAAGGCAGTCCTGGGTGGTGGTGGTGGTGGTGGCGGCGGCGGCAGCCTATGGCCGACACCCCGGCGTTCAGATGAGCCGCTCTTCCGGGGGCAGCTTGAGGTTGGGGGGTGGTGGAGCACGGGCACCCACCTGCTCCTCGCTGCTGGGCCGGTAGGTGCCCTCCGTCTGGCGCTTTTCTCGAAGTTTCCGCATCAGCAGGAATAGCCCAACCGCGAGGAGGATGACTCCCAGGATGGAGAAGACCACGATGATGGCGACGAGGCCCTCTGGGGACTGCAGAGAGCAGGAGAGGGCACAGGTGTGACTAACTGCATGTGGGCCCTACTCACCCCACCTAAGTCACCTGACAGGTGCTTCCTGCTCTCTGGGCTTTCGAGGCTCTGCTCAGACCTAGAAACGCCTCCTCAGCACCTCCCACACTGGTGCCTCTGTCCCTGTCCCCTTCACACCTGCCTCCGCTGGGCTGCATGTGAGTGCTTGGGTCCTGGGCAGATACAATTCTCTTGTCCTCCCTTTTTTCCTTTCTTCTGTGTTCTCCGTCTGTTTCTTCAGAGTCTCAGGTAACCCAGGCTGGCCTGAACTTACTATATATACAGCTAAAAATAACTCTGAGCGTCCTGCCTCCTCCTCTTCCACAATGCCAGCTCTGGGACAACAGGCTTGTGTCACCACACCCAGCCCTTTTATGGTCTTTTGATAGGTCTCCTCTACCCCAGGCTGGCCCTGAATTGTGGCAATCCTCCTGCCTCAGCCTAAGAGCTGGGATGACAAGTGCGTATCACCACGCCCACCAGGCAAGACACGATACTTTTTTTTAAGACAGGAACTCACTATGTAGACCAGGCTGGCTTTGAACTCAGAGCTCCACCTGCCTGTCTCTCCAGAGTGTGTGGGCCACCACACCCAGCTGGACGCAATATTCTTGTTCACCCTTACATGGAGAGGTCTTGATAACTCTGTCTGGGACTTTGTTTGTTTGTTTGTTTTGTTTGTAAGGCAGGGTTTCTATGTGTAACAGCTCTGGCTATCCTGGAACTCACTCTGTAGACCAGGTTGGCCTCTAACTCACAGAGATCCTCCTGCATCTATCTCCTGTGTGCTGAGATTAAAGGCCTGTGCCACCACCACCCAGCACTCTGTCTGGGACTCTAAGTGGTCCCATTTCGTGGGTAGAGTGCTTGCCTGGAATGTATAAGACCCTGGTTTTGACTCCCAGCACCCCATAGACCCAGCATGATGGTGCACACGTCAACTCAGCAATGAGGAGGTAAAGGCAGAAGGATCTGGAATTCAAGGTCATGAGGCTACAGAGGAACTTGGAGGCCAGCCTGAGCTACACCAGACCCCACTTAAAAGAGGAGGAGGAGGAGGAGGAGGAGGAAGAAGAGAAGGAAGGAAGGAAGGAAGGAAGGAAGGAAGGAAGGAAGGAAGGAAAGAAACCCAGGGCTAGGGCTGGGGGTAACCTGGTTGGAGACATGCCTAGAATGTGTAAACCTTAACAATAATAATGTCTCTCTACATTGCCAGTGTTCTGGTCTCTCACACACCTGCCCTAGCTGCTTGCACCCTCCCAACTCACCAGGCCCCCATTGGAACCAGGGTCTGGGGATGGAGTTGTGCTATTGGAAGGGTCCGGTGCTGTGGCTGTGGAGCAGAAAGAGAAAAAAATCCATGCCAGGCTCTTCACTAATCACACACACACACACACACACACACACACACCACCATTCAGCCAGACCTTGTAAACTCCTTCCAAGTCTCCAGTTGGAATAGAGACTGCTAGTGCAGCCAGGCCGCCCACTCCACCCTCAGGTGTGGTATTGGTTCCTCCAGCCACCCTCAGCCCAGCAGAGAATAATCTGGCCAAGGTCACCACTGCTAGCCAGACCATTAGAATAGATGGCTTCCAGAACAGTGTCCCCACCACCACCCCCATCACCCTGGCCCAGGGCTCTTAAGGATCTGGGCGGGGCTCAACCTTTCCCTGGAGTGTGTGACTCACACAGCCCCCCCACCCCCAGGCTCCCGAAACTGGAACCAGAGAGACAGAGGGAAGGTCTGCCTGGGTCCACACCTACGAAGGGCCAGCCCTGTCAGCTGGGCCTTCAGGCCTCCTCCAGGTCCCCTGGCTGCTTAAGACTCTCAACTATGCAGACTCAGGTGCCCTGACTCCCCTCCCCTCCTCCACCTCCCGGCTCTGCCCAACAACCCCCAGCTCCCAAATTCCACAAGACTTAAGGACTCAGGAATTCTGGGCTGCGGGTGCGGGGTCTGCTTGATGGTAAAGTGCTTGCCTAACGTGCAAGAAACCGTGGGTTCGAGCCCCAGCAACGCAAAAAAGGGGGTGGGGGGAGAAAAGTTCCGAGGTGGACTAAACTAACTTGTGGTTCAGCCCTGACGCTTTTGGACCCGGTCCCCAAACACATTCCAAGCCCATTCCTCAGACCTTTCACCCTCTCTGGGTAGCAAATGCCCTGCCCTTCTGAGCTCTACCCGGGAACCCTCCTCCCACCCCAGCGCCGCCCGGGACGGTACCTACTTGCTTGACTCCAGCCGGCGGGCAGCATCGGCAGGCCAAATGCCAAGAGCAGCCCCAGGCCTGGGGTCGCCATGAGTTTGGGCGACGAGTTGGTGGCGCCAAGGGCAGGACTTCCCCAGGGCTCCAATTCCTACCGCATCTTGGGTCGAGGACGGCACCTGCGACTCGAGACCTGGGGACCAGACCAAAGGAGAGGCCGTAGCGTGGGGTTGGGGGCTGGACCTAGCTGGGCTCAGGCCCCAGCGACAGGCGACCAAGCTTGGAGTGCGCTCCCCGCCCTCGGCGCCAAGGGTCAGAGATTAAAGATTAACTCTCGGGCCGCGTTCCTGGGCCAGGGAAAGCGAAGGAGGAGGTGGGGACAGGCCAGGCTGCGCGCCCTGCCTCCCTACCTGGCCCAGGCGTCCGAGAGGGACTTGGCGCAGGTTCCCAATCCCGGGTCCCCGGCTGGAACCCCGAATCGCTGTCCTTCACCCTGTCGCTCCGGATCCCACCCGCCCCGCCCGCTCACGTGACCCGGAAAGTTTAGTCACCCACCTAGGCAGGGAGCGCACTTCCGGCTTGTGCACCTGAGCCTGGCTCAGAGGGGCGGGGCCGAGGGGGCGGGGCCGTGCCGCCGGAGCACCTGTAACGGGAACCCGATTGCGACCGGGAGCCGCGCGAGGGGCGGAAGCGGGCAGGTGTAAGGACGGCACATCGGGGTTCCTCGGTAGCGCAGGTATGCAGACGCAGGGGGCGCGGCGACACGCCAGAAAGACACACACCTGTAAGGGGCGGGCTCCGATGCGTAACACTGAAATTCACACCTGAAGTCAGACCTGGTGATGCTTAGTCAGCCAACCAACCTGTGTGGGACTAGCTCTATAGAAAGATACACATGCGGACCTGGATGTGCAATGTATAAACACCGGCTTCGAGTCATACCTGCACGGTAAAGACACCTGGTCAAAAAGCACCTGTGCAGAATTTCGCTCTTGAAGGCCTTACACCCACACTGAAGGACATCCGCAGAGGGGGCTCCACAAACTGGCTTATTGTGTATGAGGTCCACCTGTCAGGAAAGTGTCCGAGAAAGCACTGTGTCCCCATGGCACCCACAAAAAAACACCTGTGTGTGGAAACATCTGGTAGCTGGTGGGGGGGGGGGAGTGTGTGTGGGACTCTCACCCACTCACCACACATGTATGGGCACAGCCTGCGTGGGAACCACATAACCTCTGGACGTATTTTTGGGTAAAAGGTAGACATGAACAGGATATGGCGGCACACGATTACATCCCAGCAATTTGAAATCTGAAGCAGGAGAGCTGTTGCACGCTCTAGGCCTACAGAAAGAGGCTCTGACTCAAAACAAGAGTAAAACAACAAATGGCCATAGAGCTGAAGCTGGGGTCCACTGGCCAGAGTGCTCCTCTAGTGCGTAACAAAGCCCTACGACACCCGCTGTAGAGGTGCACTTCTTAAACAGAGCAGAAGCAGGTGGATCTCTGCGAGTTCCAGATCAGCCTGGTCTACATAGTGACTTTCAGGGCTACCTAGCGAGACCGTGTCTGGAAAACAAAAACAAAACAAGCAAAAACCCTAAAGAATAAATAAAAGAGGCTTCGTAGCTTCTAGGAGTGGTGGTTT